AAAAGTCACCTTGCCTCACCAATGAAGGGAAGGGTATTGATCCTGCAAAACACAGCTTTTCATCTAGGCAACCCGCGTTTCTCATTTCAGTTTTACTAAGGCAGGAGTGAGTGGTCCCAGTTCGCTTTACAGTGACCATGTCTGCACATCAGCATCTACAATGTCATTTAGATACAATATCATAGAGAACATTAGTCCAAAGTCTAAAACTCCTGTTGGTCTACAACTGATAAAAGCTACACACTGTAATTTGTAGCAATTAGAATCTAAATGATAGGAGAGCGGTAGAAGCTGATAGAGAGATAATGCCAGAACACTCTACCCATTTCTCCAAAATTAAATGTTTTCTATCTAGCCATTGCTGTAGCTAATAAGATGCTTTGACAGCTTCAGATTGCCACCTCTAAGGGAAAGGGAAACACAGCAGGAAGGAAGAGGACAGATAGCAAAATCAAACTTTTCTTTTTGATCTTAAGTCAAATTCAGTTCCTACTGAAGCTGCTGACTTTACTGAGAACAAAGGTGAACCCGTGCTATGTAGGTAGAATCCCTCTGCACCGTTTTATCTTGGGCAGAAATGCAAACATCAATCCAGCCACAGAATATCCAGTTAAAACGCAAATGCATTATGCTAAGTGCATCCACAGTGCTTAATGTATTCACAAAACTGAATATACTGACACATTTGTGCTGGCAAGAGTGTATCACTCATCACTGTCAACATACTTTAGCTTTATGTGATTTGAAAACTAGGAAGTTCAGTCCGTCAAATTAGGCATATCTAACAGAGCAAATTTTTCATTAGCAATTCTCCGGTAGCGTAGGAAGCTGCGGTGTCACTCCGTTGCACACATCCCTTCTTGCATGCCACATTAAAAGGAAACAAAAACCTTGAGAGGCCAAAAGGAACTGCTCATAGAAAACCAAGCACAGATTGCTCATTGCTAATGGATTGTGGACAGTTGGTCAATTCATTTTCTGTAAAACTTGGTGCATTTAAAACAGCTCATTTCATGAGTCACAGGTTACTGCACTGATGAACTGGCCAAATTTCTGAGGGCATCTGAGCCATGTTTTTAAGAGTATCTAGAAACACAGACTCCCACTTTTCACTGGGAGTTATTTTAAGTCTTTGTTGCACTTCTGCCCTAAGTTTTAAAGTAATTTCTTTTGTTTTCCCACATGGGGGAGGTTACACATGAAAAACTCTGTCAAGATGTGATAACACTCCTTGCTTGGTCAAAACTGATGCTCAGTTCTTGGAACCAAACTATCAAACCAGAAGCTCTTGTGCTAATGCTGTGATTTGTATTAATTTGGAAATTATTTCATTCTCACAGTGATGAAGGAATAAGACTTGAATCCTGCCCTGAGGCTCCTTGTGGCCACTTCACCCTTCTCTTTTGCGAACAACGTCAGAAAGAGTGAACTGGCTTCAGCTATGTCATCCCTCAAAATGCGGAACAAAGGTGTCCCCTTACGAAGGCATAGCCAGGAAAGTGTTCTCCATGAAGGTCAGCGTGACAGAAGCAAATGTCATACCTGGACAAACAAATAAGAGCATATAGTCTGCAAAAGGCCCATGAGGTCATCCCTCCAGGCTCTTCAGCACTGGCAGAGCCCCCGGGGAATACTGGGTCCAGTTGCCAGTAACAGACTTCAAGGTGGGCTAACAGACAGACTCTCTCAAGACTTTGTACACTGTCCTGAAAGAGAAGAGGCAAGTGCTGATGTGACAGAACAAGCTTCAGTCTAGTTTTCTCCAACACACAGTAAGCCTCAGCTTGCAGGACAGTGGTTAGCTTTCCTTAAAGCAAGTGGCAGAATGGCTCGAGTAAGGACTCACAGTCTGCAATCTTCCCTAAATAAATATCGATAAATAAGGATTACTAATTTCATTTACAAAACCAGTCTGTGGTCGATACAATGCTGAAGGTTGCACACAGCAAATGGTTGTGTCACAACCGACTCGGTCCCTAATTTAAGGAGGGCACTGCGGAGTTCCCAATGTCCTCCAGCACTCCAAATGCGTAGCTAATGACTGACAGCGTAAACAACTTACTCATGCATGATTTGTGCTCATTCTAGCCTAGACATCAATACTGTCTCTCGAGTAAGTTGAACAGAACTGCAACGTCCTTCCTGAAATGTCGACTCGCTGGGGATGTGGAGCTAGCGATAAACATTGCAGATTTTCTTCAAACAGAACTTCTCTGGCTTTATTGCTTCATTTAATTGAATTTTCTTTTCTCCTCTCTTTTCTCAAATGCAGTTCTTGAAAATGAAACAGTTCAGTCTCGGGCACACCATGCTTCTTTGTTGAAATTCATTGGCACAGCACAAATGTAACTGAAAGCAGAACCGACTCATTGTTTTTAGGAAGTAGTTTACAGCACAGTCTATATTGCTTGTTACTCACTTTCCTGTTTATCATCAGGTCGTTCGATGGCAGGTGGTTTAGAGAAAAAAAAGCAAAAATTACACAGTTACATAGAACATCTGGGCCAGATCCTCAAGGGATATAAATTGTCATCATACCATTTGTAGGCTCTGGAGGACAGGCTTTACCAAATCAAAGTGCTCTTTGTTTTCTAATACGATCCTGCTGCACAAAGAGACTAGAAAAGAGATTTATTTCTTCTGTAGCACTGTGCCCTTGATTAACCTAGTTTGTGGCACCTATTTCAGTAAAAAAGCTAATACCAACACTGACTTCAAAGCATTGCTAAAGTGTGATACCTGCCTGATCATTTATCATTTGATTCTCTCAAGCCATTTTCTGTCAGCAAAGAGGCAAGCAAGATGTATGCTCTGGGTGAATCCCACATCATCATTAGCAGAAAATTATGCCAAACTGCTATAAAGTAATTACACGGCTAAAAGGTGAACTGGGAGGAAGTCAGTGATTAAATACTTACCACCAGAGTCAGCCCACATCAGATAATGTTTTGTTCAGAGGCTTTCAATCTCTTTTCAAATCACTGGCCAGTGCCATGGGCTGAATTGAACCTTCACTCAGGTCTTGAGAAGTATGCTCAGATATGCTTGGCCCTTTTTCATATCAACTGAATTTTATTTCGGTATCATATAGTACAATACTGGATAACAATAATTCTTAATCGGTAGCTCAAGGTTGCTCTTGCACCGCCAAGCTATTCTCACCGAAATCTTTCACGGGTTCTTGCAGAGGTGCTGCAGTTACAGCAATCCATTGTGGTCATACTGCAGTGTCGCTGTCATACAATGCGAAAAGTGTAGAGGTTTAGAAATGATGGGATCTGAATTACCGCAATAAAACTCTTCCTGAGTGAAAGACCTTGGAGCAATGACTGAGGAAGCAATAATAACACTGTACTCTATATCTTCCCTCCAAATGATCTTAAACACTGGTAAGCTTAATCTTTGACATTGCTGTGAAAAATGTATCTCCATGTTGTGGATGGTAATTTTGAAGCACTGAGATATTATCACTAATAACTGACTTTATTCATCCTTTTCCAGAATGGAGCAGCACACCCTCTGGGCCAGTGAAGATGCAGTCTTTGTCCAGAGGGACCATCCAGCAGGACATCAAAGACAACTGTGACAGATGAGACCACGTGAGGCAAATGATCAGCGGGATCCATAGTTTTATTTTGCATTTAGCCCTCCTCTCCCCGCCTCCCCTAGCCCCGCTCAGCTTTCTCCCTTCACCCCGCTGCTTCCCCTTCTCCTCCCTATTCCTCCCCTTCTGCTCCCCTCGTATCCAAGAGCCAGCTCTGAGTCAAATTGACAGCCAAAAGTGCTCGATACAGCCAAAATGCTGAAGGATTTGTACCCTGGGAGACAAGAAACCTTTGTACCGTTCAGGACACTGGAGGGTCCTTTACAAGCAGCTTTTACCCTGTTTTACCCTGCTCCTGTAGGTTAGGAGTCTGATGGAATAACCCTAATAAGTAATTGGGTCTTCTAATATCGCCTCCAAACATGATACAGGAAACAGGATGGCTAATGGTCAAATCCTGCCTCCAGTGATGTGGGCAGCTGTTTGGTGACTGCTGATACCATATTTTGCTTCAACACACTTCCATTCTCTATGTGCAGTTAACCACGTGTACAACTCCCCTTTACTGGGGCCCAGTTCTTCTGAAATCAGTACGACTTTTATCACTGATTTAAACGGGAACGGGATTAGGGCACAGATAGCACAGTCTGTATGTATGGCTGACTTCAAAGTAATCCAACAACGCAGTTCAGGGTCTGGCACGATTTGATGCCCTCAACTCCCAACCACACAAATAGGAAACACAGGTCTGAATGGCCTCTGCCGACTTACCACCACCTCCACGTTCTCATGCAGGTCAGGAGCATCAAGCCCAGCAGCTGGTGTTTCAAGCACTGAATCTTTTCAAGAGCTATCCAGCTGTCACATGAAGAGTTCAGGTTCTCTTCATGAACCTGAGGTTCTGACCCCGGGTTCGCTATGTCTTGGAAATCTGCTCTAGTTTTATTATTAAAAAATGTAAGGAAGATTTTTTCAAAGCGTTGTGAAATGCCCTCATAGATTTAATGAGAGCTGGGCCACTAACCACAGACTGTACCTTTGGAAAATCTGACCTTTGTTGCAACTTTTAATTTCAACAAATTTCAAACTTTTAATTTCCAGGTCATGTAATCTGTGACTTTAACTGTTAAGTGAAAAACATTTTTAGTACCAGATCCTTGATAGTACTAAAGCTACAGATGACCCAGCTGCTTTTAACCTGCTCTTATGGAGGCTGTAAAAGCTTGCTTTTTTTTCCTCGATAAATTAAAACTTTCATGCACTGATCACTATTCCATCCAAAGGCATACAGCATATCAGCAAACGGAAGTCATTTTACAGAGAAACTTTTGCACATGGCTTGAAAGCAAGCCCAGCAAGAATTGACAATGATAGATGATCTCCCCAGTGACATTCAGGAATAATGCAGTTTCACATTTATATCAGGGAAAAACAAGCAATAGACATATTTAAATAATCATTAAAAATTAAACACCTGACACAAGGCAGGTTTCAACCCTGTTCTGCCACACATCTTCTGGAAATCTTTAATGGATATCATTTGAGGTCTTGCTTTGCTCATGAACAAAAGCTTTGTAATGGAGGCTTGAGTGTATGTGTTATCAGCAAAAGGTTCTCTCGAGGGAAATTAAGTGAAAAGACATCTTTCTTGTCTTCATGTTTGACATTCAGGAGTAGTGATGAGATAAGGTAGGCACAGGAGTCTTTCAAAAAACCGCCAGATAGCAATGACAGCATTTCATAAGGACGTGAACCGTTCATCATCTGCTGCAAAGACTCCATTAATGTGGCCTGCTTTTAAATCCAGTGTTTCGCAAGGAATCCCATTTTCTACTGTTACTGTTACTTCGCCTCTCTCTTCTAAATTTTCACTCTCTGTTGACTCTTTATTCTTTCTAAAAACAAGGAAGAGAAAATCATCTCATTCTGTTGACCACCACAATTCCACAGACAGAAAACTGTGCATTTAGTCAGAAGTTTATCATAGGTTATGACTGAAAGGCATAATCTGGTGCACTTCTTTGCTACTGTAAATATACCACGGAAGATGGGAGGCCCACATATTGGAAGGCCTGGTTTAGTGGTTTGAGGTCAGGATTAAGAATCAGAACACCTAGAGCAAACATGTTGTAAATACGTTATAAACATTACTTCAGCTCCTTGTTCTGTTAAATGACTGGAGGGTACAGAAGGAGAAGTTGGTGCAAAACAAAAATGGAAAAAATCTCTAAATCTGTTTTTGCTTTACATCAGGAAGGGCTGCACTAAACATCTAGTCTAACCCTGTTATGTATGTCACAGATTTCACCCCATGATGTCGACAAATTAAAACATACTTTTTAGAAACAGATCAGCTTTAGACTACAGCCTCCAATGATGGAGACTTGAGTGCCCTCACACTCCTTGACCATCTTCAGAAGTTAGGTACTCTCAATGCTGCAAATCTGCATTTTAAGTTCAAACTTCATTAACAGCCACCTTCCTACCCAGTATTTTATACTTTTGTTTTCTAGATCACACAATTGCATGGCTTTCACTTTTCCAGGCTCCAGTTCTCACCAAAAGCATATAAAAATAGTTGCTGAATAAAATTACCTAAAAATACAACCACAAGAAGATGTAATACAGAAATATCAGTCAACATGTCATGATGTTCCTTTAATTCCAGATTTATTCTGACCTTGAGATCTACTAGTTCATAGTTGAAAAACCTGCTGTTCTTTACAGCCTGCAGCATCAGCAGTTTCAGAGGATAAGAAACTCAAAGGTCAGCTCCACTGCTTCTTCCTATCCCACGACATGTACTGTAACAATCTGACTCAGGACAATCATAACAACCTGACTTAGTATAACTGCTAATATCAGCGATATTAACAATAATAAAATTTTACTAGCCTTCGGGAGATTCTTGGCATTACAGACTTGCTAAAAATAAATGTGGGAGTAGTAGAGTGGGGCAACCTCTGACCTCTGGCCACTGTATCTGCACTTACAGTGATAAAAGGAGTGTTCTTTAACACAAGAACTGTGGGGGCAGAACATAAAAGATACTAAGGAGCAGATTTAAAAGAAACAAGATGTGTGGAATTCGTTGCCATAGGAATTCAGAGAAGCTAAAAATTTCTATGAGTCCAAGGGGAGACTCAACAAGTTAAGGGAAGAAAAAACATTGTGGGTTACCCAATACATGAAGACCAAATCCAGCTCGTGAAGGCCCACAGCTGCAAATTAGATGCTGGGAGAGTAACAGAGGGAAGCATTGTGTGCCATTACTCTGTTTTCACTCTTCTCAAGGCAAATGTTTATGGCCTCTGCTGCAGGTGGGATTTTGGGGGTAGGGGTGGACTTCAGTCAAGCCCAACATAGACAGTAGAGGATGGTCCTGCCCTGGGTATGTGCCAAATCGGAGTCGGAGGTGTCCTATTGCTGTGATGACAGAGGAGAACAAACATAAGACTGGGAGACAGTGTGTCTGATCCAGCTTACTGTAGAGTTAAGGGCTACAATCACATGGAGCTTTTCAAGCTGCAGGCAGCTGCAGCTTGGAATTTTACATGTTGGCAGTGATGCACAGTGAAGACCTAATTAAGAAAATCTTCCAGTTCAAGAAATGACGCATGAGTCTAACTCATTACTGAAACTCCATTATAGGCCAATCATGTGCTTCCCTGCCACCCTGAGTATCAACAGCCTGAAGCACGTGCTTTCGAACTTAACTGAACCGAGGTATTTAGCTAGTACTTTAAGGCCAATAAAGACAAAATGCCAGATTTATGAGAAGTCAACACCGTCCTTGGGGCCAGATTTCCCACACAGCTTGCTAGGCAACAGAGCTGCCATTATGTCAGCTCTGGAGGGGTTTCCAAGAAAACTCATTAGTGGACATGCTGAAGTCTTTGACAACCTGGTCACATACTTTGGTGCCTGAAAAAGAAATTAACACTTTGGAAATTCTCTTCTCTGATGTCTCTTCTTTTGAGAAGCCAAATAGCCCAGACCATCCTTTTACCTCTCCAGTCTTTGCAACAGTAGATGGAAGAAATATATAATTGGTTTATCCTTTCTCTCACTCCCCTGCCCCTGCCTGCAGATGCCATTGATGTGAAAGGAGGGTTAGAGTTCAATCTTGGATGAATCTGTTCTGAGGAAAAGTTGTGTGTATGTAAAGGCAGAGTAGGGAAACAGAGGGAGAACTGAAAAGGAGCATAACAACTAAAAGGACAACAAGAGCATGAGACAGAAAGGATGCCAAGTGACCGTAAGCAGGCAGCAACAAGCCATATTACCAGTGGTATGATGATAAGAGCGTGTAGTTTACACCATATTGAGGGGAATTGCTCAAGCTCAGCTGAGTTATTTTGAAAACAGAGGGGGGAAAATGCTGTCTTTCAGTGTGTTATAAAGTGATTTCAAATGATTATTTTAGCTAGAAAAATCATAGCTATTTAGCATAATTTATTTATATTACACTTATTTGAAATGTTCAAAGACCCCCTTTGAGTTAGGCACTATACAGATACACAGAGCCATGCTACTACACAGAGGGCAGTTATGGGCTTCAGGAAGCAACATTATTCTCCAGTTTTACAGAAGAGGTTGCCTAAGTTCAGGGGATAAAATAACTCAGCCCATGCCACATGGAAGGTTGTGACAGGGCTTAAATTATTCACAGATCTCCTCTTTCCCCAACAGCATCTCTCATCTACTGTTTGTTGAATTTTGTTTTTTGAAAACAGAAAGGGGTTTTGCAAATTCATGCAACTCTTCTTCAAGGTGATAATGAGGCAGAAAGAAAAAGGCTCTGCAACACACCACTTTTCATATAAGAAACCCATATATAGTTCTGATATATTTGGGGATGCAGTCCACCACACATTCAATAATTTTAACATCATCTAGCTGTCACTAGAAATCTACCCTTTTTCAGTTCTTCTGCTGTTCCTGTATGACTCTGTTGCTGAAGTCATAATTTTGTGTTAACTTAACGTCTGTGGCAGCCTAAATCATGGCAGAAGTTGAACTTCTATGGCAGAACCTCAGCTCAGCTGAGAAATTTCTATTCCTTATGCCCAAGTCTGAGCCAACAGAGATGGCAGGACCAAAACTCCACCTACTGTCTGGCCTGCTCCAACATGCTCACACTAGGGAAGCATGAATAGCCTTCTCTTTTTCACCAGTGCCACCACAGGGTAGAAACTGAGAGGAAAAGCGAGTCTCTCTCTCCTACCCTACTGCCAAACAGCAAACACCTAGACTCATGGGGAGATCTGGTCATGAACCTGTGAAGGACTGGGTACTTTGGACTTATCAGGTCATTAATGTTGGGTGAGACCATGCACTGTTCCATTGAGCAGGCCCTCTTCAGCCATACATTAATCATTATTGTGTCCTCTACTGAGGCTTCTCAAACTGCAGCAGCAAGGTTTTTTTTGCCCTGCCAGCTTTTGACACCACTGTCCTGGAAGGGGCGCAGTCACTGCCAGCCTTCTCCCTCTTGGTAGCTATTTGGGTATTCTGTGAAAGGAGGCTCACCTATGGTACATTAAACCTTGAGAAGAATGACAGCAAATGTCTTTGTAAAGCTATCATCTCTACTTAGGTGGCCTCCAGGATCATATTCTTATACTCCCTATTTCCTCATTACACCCCAGCATTACTAAGGCATCTATACTTCACAGTTAAAAATTTTAACCCCTTTCCTCAGAAAAGGACACATGGGTTATCTTTACCTATGGAGGGAGGGGGGGCACAGCTATAATTTCTCTGAGGCTGATCTGAAAAGCAAAACCAGCCCAGCTGACTTAATTTGCCAGTATTCAGTTAAAACAGAAGAAAAGCTAAGCTTACTTCTTGCGTTGCTGAATCCCTGCAACAACGAGGAAAACAATTCCAGCCACAATGAGGCAAAGAACAACACCAAATACGATAAGCCAGACAGGAGTGGAGGGTTCAACAGGAGGTAATAAGGTTGAGGTTATCTTCAGGAACTGCAGTGTTTTGTCACTCAGTAGGAAGGCACTGTTGATTCTGTTCCGGTTCATCCTTCATAAAAACACAAAGAACATCACAACTCTTTATAAAGGTATTTTATAACTTAAAAGGATAGAAGAAAAAGAGGAACTTTCATGTACGTGCTGCAAGTCTGGCAGGGCTGAATTTGATCCAGCATGACGTTGGTAGGATTACACAGACCTTCACTTTAACATAGACCCTATCAGTAATCCATAGACACCCACACACTTACAAGGTTTTGAACACCAGACTTTCATATGTATTTATCTGAAAAATTGGGAAATACAGATGAGACCTGAAGTACAGTATTATTACTTTTTTCTGTTTTGGACCACGTGCTGAACACATACCAGGTTGTAATCTCTAAGGGTGGCTCTGTTGTCTTGCTCATGCAGCATTCAAGATTAGCATGGGAGTGGCACATCTATCCTGCAACGCTCAGAGGATTTACTTATCAGTGCCCCTTGGTTCCTCAAACTGAACCATCCTGCATGTTATGGGCAGGTACATCTGCTCTTGTTGCTGTAGATTTTCTTAGGTCCATGAAGCATAGGATACGATTTGGTCCAGAAGAATCCCTATTGCCAACATGCTCTTCTTCCCTGCAGCTAAAGGGATTTTTACTTTGCACATTTTTTCCGTTATGAGAAACTAAGTCTGAGAAATACGCTTTTTCATATGAGTAGTACAACTGCTACCCTTTAATAGATATCTTCACCCACAATCATTACTTCTAAGCATTTGTAGGTATTTCTGGATCTGAATCTAAGCAGCCTTTAAAGGCTTTAGCAGCATCTTTCATTAGCTTTTTCAAAATGTTAGAAATTTTTGAGAAAATGTATTACATATATTGGTCTTGAGAAATTCTTTTTGATTGCAGTTGTATGATTTACAGCAGCTCTTTCATGTATACAATTCAATTTATTTACCATAGAGCAAGTATTTCCTAAGAACAGATATATGGGAAATATAGGTAAGATTTTGCGAATTTCTTTTCTCAGAAATCATAATGTTTGACTGTCCCTTAAACAGGAAGTTCTTAGCCTTAATGGAAAGCTAACAATCCTGGAGAGGACTGAAAGCCATAGCATATTATAAGACTCATAATACAGTAAGCCATCTTTGATTTAAAAAAGATTTTCATCCTTATTGATATAAAAGGATCATTGTGAACAGCTGAAATAAGCATTGTTCACCCTCATCTAACGGCTGGAGTTACAGAATTACGTGCTGAAACACGTGCAGGTAACTACAGGTTTTGTATTTGTATATGCATAAATATATCTTGTGTATATTCATGCAAGATCTTGGGACTCATACAGAGCTCTGAGAAGGTTTGCCTTCCTCTTTATTCTTAGTTTGTGGAGAACCTCATACAATAAAATCCTGGTACACTGGTAGCGTTCTTATGTGCAACTGTAGTACGAAGAATTAGAATAATGATTTAGTACGGAAGTCTGCAATCAGAAGCAATTGAATAAAAAGTATTGTAGTTTTATAGACCGATTTATTTCTTGTTTCTAAGTTAGGTAGGAATTAAAACTTTTCATAAATAGCATATTCTTCTTTATCGGGTGACAGACCACAGTTAAAACCCAAACATACTATAATAGCATCCAATTTCTGTGGCAAACAGGGCAAATAAAAGACTTAAATAAATCAGCTTATGCTACTGAACACATCAAAGAACAACAGAAATGCAAAAACCCTGCATTCCAGCACTCTTACAGAGAGCTTCAGTGAATAAATAATCTGCTTCCTCCACTAATGCTATGAAGCTATTGTTTGGTGTCTCTGTAGGAAATAGTTTAATCTGCTCATAAGCTTAAAAGTTAATCTTTTCAAAAGAACGCATACTCATTCATCAGGAATTAGGCATTACACCTCCATAGAGATAACATGAATTTTCAAGACAAAGTACAGAATGTCTAAAAACAAAGAGGTCTGTTTTCCACTCCGTGCTTGAGAAATGTACGTGAGTTATGCTGCTTATGGGAGTCAGCCCTATAAACTCCTTATGTAGGTTTGGTGGACCACTGAAGTCAGATTCCCTATGTTTTCTTTGTCCTTCTTCAGCTCCACACTCTTGCTTTTATTGACTACAGAATGTGATATTTAGTAGAAAGCAAACTGGTTTGTACCGCATGGTACTTTGTAAAAGCAATGCTCAGCTACGATAGTGACTGGCATTCTATAAAGAGCTGGTATGAAAGGAATGTGAGTATAAAATTGTTTAAGCCAAGCTGGGACACAGCCAGCTCTGCTCATGAAGAGTTCACACGAGCTCTTCTCATGTGAAAGCTGACTTCTAAAGTAAGTCAGATGAACTGTACTTGAGAAGCACTGAAAGGGAGACTATGGTCATTAGTCCAGGTACAGATGTACATGCAGCATGCAGCAAAAGTTAAACCCTATAAATCCCACCCAGAAAGTGTGCAATTCCATCATCTGAGGAAGAAGGCTCTCTCGCTGGGAAATATAGCAGCAAGATGAGAGCAGTGTATGTGCCACACACTGGACAGCAAATTACAGGTAGGGCTCTGGAAAGGGACTAGATTTCATCTAAGGCTCCAGCATTAAGAGACTCCTTCCAAAGTTATAATCCCAAGGCTCATATGCTTTGCATTCTGTGGGACTGTTAAAAATCCTTCTAATCTCACATGCATGAAAGAGTACTGACCCCTTGGTGTTTTAACTACTTGGATTAGTTTATCCTTAAAGAGGCAGAGTGCTCATTCATACACGGCCCAGAGAGAGAAAGCTTCCCCAGTCAGCAAGGAAGAAAAGGCTACAGAAGCAGTGACTGTACCTGATGGCTGCCTCTACCTCACTTCCAGGAACAGTTGTCATGTTTTTTGAAGAATCTGTGACCACAAACCAAAATGATACCCGATCCGTCACGTTGCAGAGCAGCACATTGGAAATTCTGTGGACGGTTAAAACAAAAATCATCATTAAAGAAACATGGAAGAAATAATTGAAATATTTCCAATTTTCTTAAAATACTGCTTTCATCTAGAGGGGGAAAAAATTCTTACATTTCAAAAAGGTAACAATTAATGCCCAAGGAAGAAATCTCACTCAGCATTTCCCATTTCCCTATGTGATTTTTAAAAATTTAAGCTTACTGAGACCAAACGTGAGTCTTCAAACAAATTTCTGACTCTATTACAAACTTGGTAATTACCTGGTCTTGGACATACATCTAGCATAATCAAATGGAAAAATATATATTTTCATCTTAATCATCAGGACTGTGAAAAAGGCCATATAATGGAGCAAATGCATTGAAGAACTAAAATTTTAGTTTTTGACAGCTAATACTACAGGAGCCAGGCATGGGGGATTCCCCCCATGATTTTCAAGTGAGTGCAGTCCTCCTACAGAATACATTTGTTGGAAGAAAGAGTAATGAAATTGATGTTATTCTTTTTGACGCCTTTCTGCACAGAGTCAGGCACAGAGTGGAGGCAACAGACTAAATTTCAACATTATACTGGCACTGGCATTTTAGCTTATGCTATGACAAATACTTCTCTTAACTTTTAAAAGGAGATTGCTCAGCTTTATGTGAAGTTAATAATGGAAGGGCACAGGCACGCAGCTTCTCATGGCATACTATGTAAAAAGTGTGCAAAATGTCGTTTAAATGCCTTTTTTCAGATTCTTACAAATTTGTTTTCTACTACTAATACTAGTAAATGGTGGAACTATCATTAGAAAAACCTCACGGAATGACATCATCATGAGTATTTAAACTAAAGAAGTGAAGGCTAATACATTAGTATCATAGTAGTGACTGAGGACAGATGTTCTTCTATCTATGTTCTTCTATCTGTTCCTAGTCTATTCACACAACTAAGAAACAAACCAGCCAAACTTGTGTAATATACAGGAATTGTATAACGTGGCATTTATTACAGCATGGCAAGGAACATAGTATGTATCATAGAAGGAAAGCCAAAGCCTTTATGAATTCAATGACAGATAGCTAGATAGATAAAAAAGGAAAAATTATTTAGTTCTGTATCATTAATAAAAAACTCAAAGAATTCGGCTCAGGATTCAGATTTACTGGCTATGTCCAAGCAGCGAGCAGATATTCTGAAAGTCCAGGACCAAGAATGTGGATCATTTTTATTTCCAGAGAGCTGCCTGGACTTGGTTCACCTTTGCACAAGGTCAACTTGGCCACAAGCACAACACAGACGCCTTGTCTTGACAGACCCCGCTTGGGATGATCAGTCTTCAGATATTATCTGCTGTTCTGAAGAAGGAAACCCTGCAGTGAGCCAGCGAAGAAGAATGCAGCCCCTCTTTTAATTAACTGCAGTGATGTTTGTAATGCCCATTACTAACCACTATAATTGGTTTTAAGGTTTGCCTGTCCATCATCAAAATACAAGTTTTAACATCTCGTTTCCAGCCTGTGCTCTTTCTCAGGGTGACAAATCCCCGGCTGCAAGCAATCTCCCCTGCCACAGAGCTCAGTTTTGTAGTGCCATCTGCTGGCTAATTACCAACGTAATTAAATTACCTTTGCAGTGGCCTGAGGAGCAGGAAGCATGAGGTATGAAGGAATATAAGGGAGCCAAAATTGCCGATGTAGTCTCCATCCAGAAAAGAACGAGTTCGCTTTTAAGGCAGGACAGGCATTGGCTTGATCACAATAGTTCGTAACAACCTTTTGTTTTACAGAAAAGGTATATATTCCATAGAGATGCGCAATAAAATGGAAAGCAATGATTTTGCAAAGATTAAATACCCACTTTTACCTCTCTGGAACAATGTCAATTTTGCAAATACAGAGAATTTTTATGGATAAAAGAGGAAAGCCATCCTCTGGAATTTGAAAAGGTGTTCACATCAGAGTGCTGGCAACAGTCAGAAGATGAAAGCAGATTTATTCCTCCCAAAACAAAAGCAAAGCACAAAATTTACAGGAGGTGGGGAAAAAAGAGTCTACTTTTGGCTGGTGGCTGACAAACTCTTGCTGACTTCACAGAATATCAAAAATTGTATCTGCAGAGGAAGTTTTCCATCAGGAGAATTTATAACAGTAGGACCTATAGCTTCATGTTACTGCAGTTCTTAAAGCTGGAATTTCTGTGGAGCAATCAAAAACTGGTCCAGGTAGAAAATCTGGGTTTGTGTTGCCCTACAGATGTTCTTGAAATGGGGTGAGTGAAGAAAGTCTGATCCCCAAAGAGAAAGACAAATTTGGTAGATAAAGACTGGCAGAACACCCTGACTTTCTCATTCTCGTTCAGAGACTTGAAGAGACTCTTCAACCCGGGGTCTTCCCTACAGTGCCAAGGCTTTCAGGGCGGCATGAGATAGGGCGGTCAGCCATCATTAGGGGCAGCATCTCTCTCTAGAACAAACAGCACTGAATGAATTGGCCAGCAAGGCTTACACTAGGATATGTAAATATGCCTCCTTTCTGCTCCCTGTTGTGTCTAAAATCCTTGCTCGATTGTAAGCACCCAAAACCTGGCTTCACTGCCACCACTTTTCCAGCAGTGGAATCCGAATGCTGTAAATCCTTCCAGGCTCCGAAGAGAATAATACCGCTCATGAGAAGTCCAAAGGGGATTGAGTAAATACCAAAACAGACTGGTTCAACAAGCACGAATGTGGCAATTTCTTTGCAGCAGGTACACTTTTTTTTTCCCTGTGCTATTTCCACACAAGTTTGACTCACAGCATGCAGAAGCATTACAAAACTATGCCTTTACACTGTTTAGATTTGAGAAACCTGAATTCTCCACGCACAATGCTAATTAAGTGTATTTGTAAACATATATGTGGACATCTTTTTATTTCCTTAGTAGATGATAGACTTTTGACATAGCGATTATAGGAGACTGTTATCATCAAAATTGCAAGATCCTGGTTCTGCCTTATGGCACCACGGCAAAAGTCCAAAATTGCATTTCCTTTAATATAGGCAAGTGAAAACCAGTGAGTAGAGTGCAGGAAACCCTGATGGTTCCTTGGCCTGAAACACCATCATTGTTCCTTATGGAGATTTAAAGGATGGTTTAGGGGTACCAAAGAGCTGCCAGAGACTGAAAGGGATCTGGGTGCCTACAGTGGCCGTTAGCTTGTGAGAGAACCACAGTCCCCAGGTCCCAAGTGCCTATCTCCAGCTCTCCCGAAAGCATCAGGCCTCTTCCAACCCAGTGCTATGCAGCTGCTCCTGCAAGGAACATTATTTTCTTCCTTTTTGTGGACAGCAGCCATGGGATCACCTTGACGTAACAGCTTTAACTCTAGAAGCTTATTTTGTTCTAAATGGTCACAATATTTTTAGTATCAAACTAGCCTGTCTTAGGAAGATGGATAATGTTGATGAATTTTTTTTTGGTCACTTCTTGACGAAAACTGCAGCTTTTTTTATCTACAAATGGGGGGAAGATGTACCAAAAGTAGATTCTGTTACTTGAATGAAAGTAAATGTGATGACATTCTGCTCTAAAGATTAACTAGTCTCAGGCCCAAAAAGAGATGCATATTATTTCAAATGAGTCACAGATTAGAGAAACCAGGGTTACTAACACAGGCTACAGACAACAATTTTTTAACATTGAGAGATCAAAGGTTGGCTTACGTAGTTCATGAATATATGTATTGAGAATGAATAGAAAGGCCATATATGGAGCAGGAAATAAAGGGGGTTTATTTCTCCACTGAAAAAAAAGTATTTATTTTATTTGTATTAATAATTACTGAGTAATTTGATTACTGAGTAATTTGATGGATTGTGTCTTTCTTCTGTTTCACACAAACTTGAAAATTTGACAAGCCTTTCAAACATTAAACACAGCTCCATGATTTATTAAATTTTAGTTTAGAAATTAACTTTAGAGAACTCGAGATGTAATGTCCATTCCGCGTTGGGTCACTCAGTGGTTACACAAGGGCAACAACAGCATCAACTGCTGTTTCCAGCAGCACATTCAAATGCTTGTCATTACAGGCTGGCTTTTATCCAGCTTCAGATGTTTAACAAAAGGTGACTTTGAATCTCAAAAATGATGGGACAGATTGCAACAATGGTTATACTGATTCACCAGACAAATTATTTTGGGGCCTGAACCAGCTTGCTGAAGTTAATGGCATTTGGTCTCATGTGGGAGTTAGCTGTGGCTGTGAGTTACTGCAGGGCTGCGGGTGTGTTTGAAATCAATGAGATGTTAAAGGGGAGGTTTGTCACATCCTGCTTATAGCCCTGTGCAGAATTTATACCCTGGCAGAATCAGTATTTGGTGAACTAAAATACTGGTGAATTTTTCGTAAGTCTTTATTTTGACAAAAAACTTTAATTAACCAGAGATGCAAAATTTGGGTAAATTTAGATGCTACCAGAACGCAGTCACAAGCAATTTGTTTGTTCTTTTATGGCAGAATAATTGATCATTGATCTTTTTCAGCGCCCCAAGAAAATCTGTTGGCATTTATCTGTAAAAGCTCCTGTAGTGTAATGCAATTTATTTGCCACAAGCTCTTGCTTGCCCCTGCAAGCCCCTGCCACTATCATTACCAGCTATGCGAGAGTGCACAGCATGCTGCTGTGCCCTCTGGGATGCTGAGTGCTCCCACACCTCCATACCCACTGCAGAGGGGATGGAGATGGACTGCACTCCTTCCTCTATACCCAGTTCCTTCCAGCTGCCAGACACAAGGGTGGGGAAAGAGCGCATTATTTCCAGGTCTTCTAACAGGATGGAGGCTTTCATAGCTTTCCTGCTCCCATGTAACAGGCAGGTTATTTGGGGTGTTTTGGGAGGTTCATCTAGGCCTCTGAGGTCCCTTGGGATTTGGGAGAGATCTACAGATAAGAAACTCCTCAGCCTGTTGTCTAGTAAGTAGTACCAGATCTCAGAGCTGCACAGCTGTCTTTCGGTTGACATGCTGTCTACACATGACCCCAAAGGTATCTAGAAGACCTGGAAGAGTTACCAGTTATACCTCAAAGGTACACTCCAACAAGTTATACCCCATGAGGAAGTCCTATACCACCTTAAAAAGAGGTAAAGATGCCCACACCTAGCTGTTTCCAATATTATACTGACTTCTCCTCTGACAAACATAGTAGCAGGAAATTACTGATGTATGCAACCCCACCTTCAAACTGGAGTAACACTGACATTATCATATTTGTCCATAGGAAAAATTGTCTTGGTAGCAAACTGAATTAAGTGAGCATAAATTCTGTGATTTCCCAGAGTGGATAGAGAGAACTTCCATTAAAACTTTAACTCCTTTCATACTGGCTTGATTTTTTCCCATTCCTGCACCAAGCTTTCTAATATTAGTTGAGTCTGCAGAGAGCCACAGTGCTTGAAGAGGAGAAAGATCACTGGCTTCTGACACAGGATTTTTGCTGTGTGAAAGCACCATGACTTTGAAGGAAGAGAATAATTTAAAAAAAGGACCTGGGACTAAAAAAAATATACAAAAGCAAATCTTTATGGATCAGATATTGGATGAAAACTCTGCTAATTTGAAAACCTGAGAAAAAGACCTGCATAATCACCTTTAATTAGCTTGTATCTCGACTCATTTTTTTAAGTGTCATTTTAATTGGGTGCAGTAGCATACTTGGCCGGTTTTGTCAAGCTTGGTGTAACGGCTCTCTTGCTCAAAGGAGACAACTTTTGAGGAATAAAAATGAAACAGCAAGGAACCAAACACTCCTGTTACACGGAGGGTGAAATCACGTTCTATTTAAGAGAAAGCGCGGCAGCCACAATAATCATCATGTGACTAAGGTTAACTAATATCTTTGCAACTGTGGAATATGCTTCATCTGATGCAAAGACAGCCTGAAGCAGTTTTTTTTAAAGTAAATTGAGAACCTTATCCTCATTAGCCTACCAGAACCATAAATCTTTCCTTTAAGAATGAAAAACAACGAAAAAATAATAGGCCTATAGAAATACACTTACAAGGTTTCTCATTTAAGAAAAATAAGAACATACTGAAAATACAGCTTGCTAAATGGTCTGTCTGATCCGATCCCTAATTTCGTAAGTAGCAAGGATCAGAAGCCTGAGAAGAATATTCAATACCTCAGGGTAGATGTAATCCCAAAACCAATTAAGGGCTGATTTATGTCTGAACTGTAACGTCTGAAACTTCTTGATGCTAGGTAATTCAACCGCTGCAATGTCAGAGATAGATACATCCAGCAGAACACAGCACTAGCATAGCTATCCACTTTCCAGTTCTCTGAGTCAGCTCATCTTCAGCATACTGCTGAAGCTGTGCTCTAAGGAAACATGCCCCAAAGTTGCTTATTCAAGGATCTGTACTGCATTGCTTGACCTTGCCAATGTGTCCCTTCGCCTCCTCCTAGTATGGTCTCCAGAAGGTATCATGTCTTACTGCCAGATTCTGCTAGAGTGAATTGGCACAATCCCACTGAGATCCACAGCTGTGTCACTTCACATCATGTCATGGTTTAACCCGGCAGGCAGGTAAACACCACACAGCTGTTCACTCACTCCCCCGCAGTGGGATGGGGGAGAGAATTGCAAAAAACTTGTGCATTGAGATAAAGACAATTTAATAGGACAGAAAAGGAAGGGAAAATAATAATGATGATAAAAGAATATAAAATAAGTGATGCACCACGCAACTGCTCACCACCCGCTGACCGTTGCCCAGCCAGTTCCCGAGCAGCGGCCTTGCCCCCCTGGCCAACTCCCCCCAGTTTTTTTGTTCAGCATGACATCGTATGGCATGGAATATCCCTTTGGCCAGTTTGGGTCAGCTGTCCTGGCTGTGTCCCCTCCCAGCTTCCTGTGCACCCCCAGCCTCCTTGCTGGCAGGGCAGTATGAGAAGCTGAAAAGTCCTTGACTTAGTGTAAGCACTGCTTAGCAACTAAACCATCAGTGTGTTATCAACATTATTCTCATCCTAAATCCAAAACACAGTACTATACAAGCTACTAGGAATAAAATTAACTCTATCCCAGCTGAAACCAGGACACATCAACAGGGATACTGCTTAAGACAGAGAGAATGTGATGTTTAACATATATCTGGGTGTCAAAGAAATATACTAGAACGGTCTGTTTTTAGAAGCTGTATACAATGATTTCTACAGTTCAGTACAGCAGAGAATGGGCCACTACATGCAGCATTGTTAATATGTATAAGGCAAATCAGAGTAGATGCTTACTGAGTTGTGCTCTTGCTGGAATACCTTCTCATTGCAAAAGCCACCATTGCTTTGAAGAGGTACTCTTCATTAGCATCCCAGGCATACTGTAAAGGAAGATGGAAAATAATCAGTTTCAGCACCAGTGCTGGCAGTACAGAGAGGGAAAAGAGTCACTGAACTTGAAATGCTATATGGATCAAGAAAATGAATAAATTCTCTGGTTGTGCTATGAAAATAAATTCCTGCCCATTATTTAGCATGCACAAAGGACTTTTTCTAACGGCTGTTATAAAGCACAATATAAAGTGCAAAGAATGTTTCGAAAAACTGAATGAATTCACCTTTTCTGAAAGCTGACCAAACTGGAGATGTAAAGTTTCTTGTACCAAAGACTAGGTATATTACTAGAATTCTCCCCACACAGCTGCACCCACCCTCTTTTGCTGCATAAACACTGTTAAAGTAAAAGGTTTAAATTCACTCTCAACGACCATTTGGCTCTGCCGAAAAATAAAAAAAAGCTAATGTTGAAGGTAGTCTCTGGGAGTTGGATGTCAGGACACCAGGAAATAAAATGAGATTATGGCCTTATTGCTGCACGCCATCCTTGCAACAAGAAGACAGACTCAACTATAGTACAAATTACTACATTGCACGTGAGACAAAAGAAAGAAAATAGCATCCTTACTATTTCAATAAGAAGTAAAATACAGGCTCCAAAAACTGTTCTCTGTTGCCTTGACGAAAAACCATGCCTCCATAATTTCAGTTTTCTGAGACAGCTTCACTAGGTTCCCCTGGGCTTTCATTCACATATGCAATTCTAATGACCTGTAAGAACTGCACCTATTACATTTTTATAACAAGAGCCATGACTGAGGCATACTGATTGAATTTCCCCTTTCAGCAGATTACAAAGATTAAGTTTCTTGGAATGATATTAATGGCGGTTAGAGGCAGCTTTCTTCAGTCAGTCAGAACACAAATCTAATCTTTAACTTTCAGCATTAAAAAAATCTGCACTGTAATCATCCAAACCAGAAACGCAACGGTGTGGATACTTAACCCCGTTGACAACTTGGACCTACTTTTTCATAGGCCTTTATAACACATTCAAAAACCAGCAATGTACATCAAAAAGCAGTAGAGTAAACAGCATTGAAAATGCCAAATCTTAATTCTGTTTTTTAAATTCTGGTTTTGGATGCATGGAGCTGCAACCTCCCCGCAGAAAGAAGGAATCCAACTTGCAGGCATTAGCCCTTATTTTGCTCTGACATCCTGTGGATCGGGAACTTAAGCAGGGAAGAAGGCAGTCATTTAAAGGGCAGAAAGTCACGCTGATCATATTTATCACCCCTAGACAAATGATGAGTTGTGAAATGGACTCTCTGAGATGTGGTAGGACAGGGACAACACAGCTGAGCAACAGAAAACTTGAGTAGCGTTAAAACCCAGATGCAGTGCTGAGAATCTGGATTCTGACTCACCGCTCTTGCCTTGTGAATAAAGGGAGGTGTAAGCATACTGTGATAATGCATGTCAGTCTGGGAACTTTAACTGAAAAAAAAAAAAGAGGGATTCTTTGAAAAGAAATTATAAAAGCCTGTATTTTGATCCCACTGCACTGATGAAAACGTGACAGTAATGACAGCAACTAGTACTAAAAGAAAAAGAGATAATGTAGTAGAGGAATTAATATAGATGAGAGCCATAAAACTATTTGTCGTAATTTTAAAGACATCTGTATTTAAATCATGGAGCACAATTTGCAGCACTAAAAGGGAAGATCTTCCTTTTTCTGTGTGTAGTACTATTGACTGAATCCCTACATGCCATCTGCAGTTTTTGAGAACAGGTCCAAAAGGACAGAAAAAAATCATTTGTTACCCAGCAGATTAAACCAGCTGTAGAGATAATTTAATCAGTTGTCTTGAACACTATCAAGTATTGTTTTCATAAACAACGCAGTAACCTAGAGCTTCTTTAAGTCAGAGTAAAAAAAAGGGTATCTCAAAACAGGGAAAATAATTTGTAGTGAGGAACTCCAGCCCCAGCTGAAAGAGTAAGCACTTTAAAAAAGACAGAATAAACAGAAAGCTGCAAGAAATGGAGGAGGAGACCAGCAGAGAAAGCTCAGCAGAAATCAGGGGTTTGCTTGAGTGAGGAGAAGATGCTGCAGACAACCTTCTGGGCAGAAGGGCAAGAAGCCCCAAGAAAACAGTGATCAGATGGGAGGTAGAGGAGATGGAGATGGCTGTGGGCTCCATATGAACAAGAACCTCTGTACATGACTGCATGCAAGAATATGCAGGAGGGAGGCAACATAATGAGGAAGAAAAGTATGGCAAGAATACCTTTAAGCTAATAAACTGTATGAATTCAGGACTAGTGGGCGCGAATTGCCAGAAGCCAATTTCTAATCATCAGCTTTCTCCAGTCAGAAGGATAGGTGCAAAGAAACCCAAATTGTTCTACTCTGCGGCTTTATCAGTTTCACCTTTCTCCTCCAATTGCAAAGGCCTGGACTGCAGCTGATGGGTGAGGATGTTGCTTCTGTTCTTATGTTCCTATGAAGTGCAGCTATTGATGTACATTTTGTGCTGCTATAGAGGAAATGTATTAAATATCATTTGCAACCACACACTATAAACATAAGATAACTCTGTTATCAATGAAACCTTACACGATGGTATCAGAACTATTAATGTTTACCATCTTCTTTGCTCTACAAAGAAGCAAACACAAAAACCTTGGCTCAGTTGCACTTGCCATCCTTTATATGTTAAGAAGGAGCAGAATTAGACACACCTGACTATGAAAGCCAGTCTTAAGTGCCTGTTAGTGAAAGAGGAGGTTGATGAGATAATGCATAAAAGATGATGAACGTAGGTTGTTGACAGGGTGAAATGCTATAGTAGTGCTCTAAGGAAGACAAAATTTAAGCTAGTAGAATGAGATTATAATATTACAAGATTGCCCTGAGCAACCTGATCTGATTTCAGAATTGACCTGGCTTTGAGCAGCAGGGTACTAGGGACCTTCCAAGGTCCCTTCCCTCCTGAATGGTTCTGTGTTTTAACTAGACAGCCATTCAGACTGCAGTGTGGCTACACACACACGAACACATTTCTGGGTCCCATTTGGTGGCAAGACTAGGTGCATGTCAGCCTTTCTCCCCTTCATCCTCTACCCTGGAAACAGCCTGAATACATGAGCCGGAAGGGAAGTGCACCTTCTACTTCACCTGGCTGCAGCCCCTGAGGTGCCAGCTCTTTGACTCTTACGGTTAAACTGAGTGGTGACACAGTTACATAGACTTCTCAGTGCACATCACTTCTGCTCACTCCCTAGTTGTCTTTGGCCCTTTTGAATTAACTCTCTACCACTCTGCTAACTCCATGGGTAGGAAGCAACTAGTGACTAGCAGCTATTCCAGAAGCCACTCATAAAGTTAACACTGTCTTCAGAGAGACTCTGAAGAGAATAAATCACCTTCCTTCCATTTAGGCTTACAGACACCACGTTTCCTCCCACCAGTTAGCGAACAATGTCTCTGTCAAGTACACCCATTATTTGCAAATAAAATGATAACAGCTAAATACTTACTCTATCTTAGCTGCTCTTTCCGGCTCCATTGTGATAAGAACTATACAAATACACTAAATGGAACTCCCTGCCTCAAAGTACATCCTACCTTGTGAACAAATTAAAAAATCGTGTCCTGTCTTTATCAGCCTCACATAAAGTGGATGGCATGCACTAAATCGTGTGGAAAACTACACTAACCTATTTCCTATGCCCCTGAAAGTTCATTGGAGTTATCCTGCCAGTCCTAGAGCAAAATGCCCATAGTATCAGGGTTTTCTGTTATCATCTAGCTTGAAGTGACTTGGAAATGAATGAAATTAAATTCAGTAGCAAAGCATTATACCGAGATATTCTAAGCTGGCTGTGTCCTGTATGATACAATGACAGTATTCGCTTTTATTTGCTAAAATAAATAAATCAAATAAAAAAGTAAAGTGTCCCAAATTCTTCAACCAAAATGAATTTCAGTTTGATAGTAGTTTCAGTTTTCAATTTCAGTCATTTGCAGAGAAGATTGCAATGGCTATGAAAAGGAACTACTACCTATGCACTTAATAAATTGTTCATTATTTGTGGGTAACTTTGTATGGCATCATACCACTTTCAGCATGTTGTTGTTCTAAAACGCTGTTCAAGATTGTCCCATTCTTAGGACTTTCAAACACTTTGTTACATGAAATAAACTACTATCTATCTACAAAAAACAACAGACTCCTCAGTTATTGCTTTTTTCTTGTAATATAAAGTGCCTTTAAGATTAATTATTTGTATCATACCCTTTTTGGATGAAAAATTTAAAAAATCACAAATCATCAAACAAAACCCCTTTATTTTACTATAGTTGGAGAAGTAAAAAGCATTAAGAAAGAGCATTACTGGGAACTGCAATTTTCATTCTTTGCTACTATTTTGAACCAAGATTAAATCAAAATATTAGCAGTTATCATCAAGAGGAGCTTCAATAATGATTTTGACATCTTTTCAGCCATAGCATTACACTATTTTTAATAGATTTTTAAACAAACCAGGCTCGCACTACTGTTTAATTAAAGTATCTCACCCAAGAGAATTGACTTCAATATGAATTTCCACAGACAAATACTTCAGGATGTATCTTTAATATTTTTTCCAAATTTGTCTGGTTTATGAAGTTACCAGCAGAATTAGGTCCCTGCTAATGTTAGTTTAAATTACCTGATATTTCACGGTAATTTTAGAATGGTTTCTACGGTCATAGGGAGAGGCTCTTATCTCCAATCTCTTATACCATGTCATCTACTGCTTTTTGTTTCCCAGGGCTCCTAACATAATCAGACACCAGACTTCCAGTGGAGATGACTGTCCAAGACATTTCATATCTAATTTTATGTTGAGCCCTGTGACACGCTGCAGATTTGCTCTAAGCATTCAAAACTGCAAACTAAGTACTGGGCTCTGCCATATTTCATAGCGCTTTAGATCAGGAAGGACTATTCGGTCACCTAATGTCCTAATCTCTTGTGTATCACAGACCCTTATTGCTCACACCAGTACTTCTACATTAAGCCCAATGACTTGAATTAAGCCAAAGCATTTAAGTCCTCATGAGACTAGCCTGTGCACCACAGGCAGAGAAGAAAGGCCACTATCCGAAGCCCTACATTAGTAGGGCATTGATGAGATATGCTTGAATGATCTCTACAGATCATGCTTGACTGAGAGTCTGACATAAAGTCCCATTTCATAAAGACCTAACAATCTTTTCCTACTTCTCTTCCCAGACATGCTTGACTTTACAATTAGCACTCTCAAGCAGAAGTGCTTTTCCGAAAATACAGACTTAGATTTATGCAGCACCTCTTATGCATAAAGTGTAACATCTCTACTGTTTTTCCAGAGGAAAAAAAAAAATCTTTGCCAGAAAATTACCTTTATGAAAAGGCAAGCTTTATACTTCTCTAAGAGGATCCCATTTTAAGGAGTGGGCTAGTCATATGTCAAGAAATGGATGCCTGGATTATGACTTGAGCAAGCTATTACAATTAACACTTCAGAACAAATTGCTTGTGCTGCCTTCAGAAATTTTACAGTATATATTACTTCTGTTTTGGCAGATATTCAGTGAGGAAGAATATGTGAAAATACTTTACTTACTGCATTATCTCCCAAAGCTGTTTTGATACTTAGCCGTACTTTGAAAGCATTCTGTGCATCTGACACAAAGAGAAAAAAGCAAACATATATTGATAGTCAGCCAAAATAGGATTTTAAATCATTTACTTCTCTAATTATTTCACAAATCACAGCTCCTAAATGTGTCTTAACAGATCACCTGGTTAGGAGAACAGAAGTTACTAGCGTGAAAAATGCCGCAGCCCTACAGAGTCTCAGTGAGGTTTACCATGACCTCTTTAAAGTAAGTGAGATCAACTTCCATACTTAATTTGCAAACTCATAAAAGAAGCGAATGCTCAGCATTTCAATCTTCAAACTGGAGACAACCAGTTAAAATAAAAATCTGAGAAGCTGACAGCTTTTTAGGCATAAACTCATAGCTACATTTACCTGGGGAAGGATGGGAATCAGCTCCAAAACTTACCTGGCTTGCAGAGCTCAGCATGAGCAATGGCAACTACAGAGAGAATAAGCAGCAAAACCCGTAACATCCCGTCAGTGTGGAAAGGTTGAGGCAAAAAGAAGTGAGTCTCCCCTGTAAAGCACTCTTAAACTTTCTGTGACCCAGGATTAAAGCATCAGCAGCACAAGTGAGCAACCAAGTAAAAGGTTTAATAATTAACCCCCGTTATTGTAGCTAAAACAGGCACTAGAAACAACTGTATTCTGTTAGTTATTTACTACCTTTCTCTGTAGTAAATAAAAGGCCGTAAAAAGTTTTTAATTTTCCTTCTTCCTTTTTAGAATAATACAAAACTTCACACAGTGCTCCAGGCCAACCTTTTTTCCCCCTCAGATGCGATGTCAGCCAGGCACACAAGATGTCTGAGGGACGTCGTGCCAGAGCAGCTGGTGACTGTGGTGGCGGGATGCCGTGCTGTTACCCACAGCAGGTCAATTTGAAGCTCAGCTGCCACCCGGCCTCCTTGGGAAACTGGCTGGCCCCACAGAGGGCCCCTGAGGATAAAGGAAGACTGGGCACCCTTTTCATCCCTCCAAAAGAAATACGCGGCGAACGCAGAAGCCCCAGACCCACAAACCAGGGCTTCAGGTTTGCCCCTCATTTGCCTTCGAACTCGCAGCACTTCTGAAGGGCCGGCCCGGTGGCCCCAGTGCCATGTCCCCCCACCCCTCCCCCGGCCCCATTCCCGCATCCTGGCTCAGGCGCTTGCCTGAGCCCGGCAGAGCAAACACCTCATTCCACACAAACCCCCCGACATCTGAGGCATTGCTTTGCACAAAAAGAACAGTTATAAAGATGGAGAACTACTGTCGTGCTGTTGGAAGACCTGCTGTTATGGTAGCCACTGGAGTAAGAAGAGGTGCAATAAAAGGACTTCATAGGAAGCACGTTGAATAAGGACATATTCTTGTTTTGTAGATATGACACACTGTGTGTACATATACACATGTATGTTAATTATGCACTCTATGCACTATTAGCCAAACGTTTACCAAGACAAAGAAATAAATGCAGAGGAGAAAGAATTCAAAAACCGAAATGTATCGCAAGTGCTTGAACAGTCTCTGCAATGTGGGCAGCAAGACAGGATTGTTTTATTCCACTCTGCTGCTGTACTCCCCCTGTAGCCACTCTGATTAATGGTTAGTTCCTAAATCGAAGATCGCTTCAAAATTACTTTCAGTTGGTCCCTTAGCACTGAGAAGTGTGTCTTAAGACTGTAAACCCAAAGACCTTCACAAGAATGACTACCAGTGAGAAAATTTTAGTTAACTGTGGGACTGAATTTATGGAAAACAATAACCATTGTTGTTAGAATAAGAATACTTGGACTTTCAGGTAACGGAGAATACCTGGACTTTCAGGTAACAGAGAACTTACTGTTTCACTAACCTAATCTTATTTTTAGAAGCTGCTGTCAAAGGACTTGATATCCCATCTTTAAAAGCCATTAAATCAAGCTGATTCCTGGGCATCTGTTTACTCTCACTAGGCAACCAGCTCTGAGTACAAAACTATTGGATACATTATCTGCTTAGACGTTCAATCTATGCCTATGAAAACAAAAAAGTGATGTATTCATTTCTAATGACAACTTAAATTAACATGCTGTATGTAGACGCATCAAAAGGAGAGCACTAAAATATGTATGGATGTATGAAAGACTATCAGTTTTCTGTAAATTTGTAATTTAAAAAAATCTTAAAAGAACACGAATGTTATCAGTTTCATGCTAAATTCATGTGCATTGCTTCAATAATGAGCATTTGAACTTTGTTGTACCTTTGGGGAAAATATTGGAGAACATAGGACAAGCGTTGTTTCCCTGCTGCCAGAAGGCAAATGGAACTAAGCATCAATACGCAGCATCACCACTTCTCCCCGCTGTAAACCACTGTAAATCAGTTCTTTCCCTCAGAATCACATGGAGCCGGTGTCAAAGTACATCGAAGGCACACGATGCCCAGCAGGAACAACCTCACAGGACATGACTGGATTCCCTGATCAGGGCTGCTGACTTCCAGCCAGGATGGCTGATTTTCCCCGATTTGTCTTGCTGGCAAGAAAGCAAGACAAACTATTTTTTCCAGCAGAGAGGGGAGGAGGCCAGGAGAAGAAGCAGTGTAATAAACACCCCAGCTCAGAGCTCACAGGGCGAGCATTGTGCAGTTGATATATATGTGCACAGGAACTTGGATGCATGCCAAGTGCATCCAGAGCTGACTGCCGATGCACTTACCCAATTGCATACACATAGAGCACTGCACATAAGCAACCGATTGCTATACATGTATGAATCTTTTTCCAAAGCCAGCATGTTTTTTAAACAAGCCAGGTGGACAAGCAAGCCTAGACCAGCTGTTAGTAGAAAGCTAACTTTTCTTCAAATCAATGACATTTTTAAATACTGTCTTAAAAAGCACTTTTCAGGTTACAAATGGAATATATCAGCAAATCTAAAAAGACAGACATTTTGACACTTCGTATCTCTGTAATGAATCTACATGCATGGATAAGTTTCTGCCCAGCCTCTTTTCTCCCATTTTGGCGAGATATGTAGCACTGTTCAAGCACGTCTGCATTTGTTTGTCACTGATTAATCAGTCAGGCATCAGTTTGCTTGAACAAATGACAACCTACATGCATATATGCAAGGTATGTTTTTAATTCAGTACTTTGTGAGGCATTAGATTTTTAAATAGTTCCTCTTTTATAATAACTTTGTTTTTCCTAACTACTGTTGAGCTACAGGTCATAGCCATACAGAATCTCATACACAATCTGCATCCTAGAAATATCATTGAACTAGTGCAAAGAACTATTTCTCTTCTTGTACTAAATGAATTTGTCTGCATGGTTGAAAGTAACAGTATTTCTATAATTTTTTTCAGTGCTTGTGACCTCCAGAAGTTCATGTATTATCTGCATGTATATACTTAACAGTATACCATAATTTGGACTTCCAAACAAATCAAGAGAGGACTGACATTTCAAGAAAGCATATGACTTGGTAAAACAAATGAACCCCTTCCATCTTCTCCATGTGATTAGCAATGTACTTTTATGCTTCTTTCAATGTCTTTGAAATGGAAAATCCCAGGAAAGTAAAAAATTGATAGCTATCATATAAGTTAATGGCCAAACTTAACCTCAGTTTTGACAAATTAACAGTTTTAAACTCTGAGGAAGTTAATCTTTAAATAGTTGTGTTCAACTCTTATGAGGAAAGAGTCAATGTGCTACTGTCAGCATTAGTCACTCATGGAAATGTACCTGGAGAACTGCAGGTCTAATTGTACACTGTGCCTTGCAGTACCTCGGGTGCAACAGTAACGATGAATGCTGCACATCTGCTGCAGACTTCAGAAGTCAGTGAGATTAGGATCTAAGCGAATGTCAGTATCATCCAATAGACCAGGCTGGCTGATATAGGTCCAGCCTAAGTCTCATTAAATGGGAGTTTTTCCAGTAGCTTTGGGGCGAACAGGGTGTTGAACGAGGCCCATAACCACTGTCATCATTGTAGTGATGCAAAAGTGACTTACGTATTGTCACAGAGTGTTTTATCAGTGCTCACAGAAGTAGACAGTATGTTAGAAATTGTTTACCCCTTGAGACAGTAGCGTAGCCACGAGGCAGCAGATGGGAGAAGGATGTGCTCTCTAGAGTTCACATAGATTGCCTTGAAACATGCACTTTGCCGTGGAAAGCACCGAGGATCACCCACAATGGGGCTGACATTGAGAACAAACAAACAGCAATTTCCAGCGCAGAGGTGAAGGATGGTGCTGCTGCCGCCACTTCACTAGTAAGTTTATAGTACAATCTACAGCCTTGAAGCGTCAATGGACACTGACCACTTCTTGTCACAAACCAACACTTCCTGAATATCTCCTCATCAACATGTATTTTCTGAGTCAACCAAATCCACACTAGTGATTTTACTGCCATAAAAGCTGTATGATTCCATGAGGAAAGGCGCTGCTCTTCTGCTGGAGCATATGGCAAAAATTATGATGAGGACAACCGTTAAATAATCTGCATGCCTATAAAATGTATCACAAGAGAGTGAACACTTCTTATCTGCTTATGTCAGTCCACACCGGTAGGAAATCGAGAAATGGAAACCAGAGGAACCATGTGGAAACGAAGTGCAAATGTGTGCTAAGTACCTGTACTCCTACTCAGAGCTGGTCTACCGCGCATGCATAGTTCTGTGGATAGATCTTTCAAGACGTGCAGAGATTTATAATGGAATATGGTATGCAACTTCAAATTGGATGAGAAGTTTCTCTGTTCTGAAGCGTAACCAGCGCACCTGGTATTGACCTTCACATGATGGGGTTCACATAGTACCATACCATGCAGGTATACTTTTATTTAGGAAACATGGAAGAGTGAGTTCCACAAACTTCTTGAAGGTTTCCACAAAAATAAACTATGTTTGAAAAGGCCTGTGGTCTGTACGGCATTAGCCCTCAGGATAAGGGCTAACAACTACTGACCAGAATGCTACGTTACTTTGGATATGTGAATGGCTCTTGCCTCTTGCCTGAAATGGCCGTATTTCTTTCTGACACGGTATCAATTAAATTGTATGGAATTCCACACCTGTACTTGAATATCAAGCTGCTGTTATGAGTATAAATTAATGAGAACAAATAAAGTGGAGAAAAACGCAATTATTGTATTCCTGTTTCAAAGAGGCATGATAGCTTTTTCCAGAATCATGAGGAGTATCTGTAATAGCTGATGTATTTTATGTTTTCTTATAAAAAGATCCTCCTTTTCACTACTCAAATATATAAGCTTAAGATGGTTCTTTCCCCAAGTATATTGGGAAAATGCCGTAATGAAATGTAGCATACTAATGAAAGAAATGATTGAATTTCTCAATTTTGACTTATAAATAGTTTAAAGGAAGATTGTTGTTACAGCACTTACTCTGTTAAAAGGAGGATGAAAAGTTATCGTTGTAATTCCTTAATGAAATAAGATTTATGAAACACATTTGGTTGTGTTTTTTCAAAAAACTTTCATGGGTGTCAATGG